AACGTCTGTTATCCATTTATTCTCAAACAAAGGTTGTCCCAATATTTTTTCAAAGCATAGCGGAACAAATTTATTTGGTAAGGGTAGTTTGCACCAAATTTCCAGTAAGGAAACCCATAGGTTGTCTAAAAGAAGATCCACTCGACATGTTGTTGTGAGTGGGAGTGTTTTTGTGTGTGTTTGTTGATTTTTTTGAGGTTTTTATTACGTATCAGAGTATTTTTATCAGTTCAAGGTTTTGTCGGATCTGCTAAATATCATTTCGGCTTTGTTCTGACCTTTTTTTTTTTATTATTATTACTCCATCTATTGGTGGGGAGCCGCACTTGCTAGAAAGGGGGTCCACCGTGGTTCTGTCCTGTCAGTGACCTAACACACACGTTTGGCCTGTTTGGACTCACAGGGCTAGTTTCCTCCCGAGTAGCCGAGTTTAAGGGTTGAAGCGCTTTGTTTTGGGCTGGGCTGGACCAGTTTGTCTTCTCTCTGGTCCAACTACTTTATCCTTTCTGCGGGCATCCCTGATGATACAGCAGGGAGGTCTAACGTCTCATGGGGACCCACACAAGCTGTCCTAGGCCAGCAACACCAGGACCAGGACTTCAGCCTCCATCCTCGACCATGGATCGGAGATTCAATCAGACGGCTGGGAACACAGGACTATGCCGCTTCCACTAGGCCCACTGGTATATAGTTGGGTCTGGGCTCATTCCTTACAATTCAGCGCTGAAGACACACTTTGGCATTATGTTGCACTAGCAACAGTAGATGAGCAGCACTAGAGTTATTGCTAGAGGTGTAAGAGGGGAGTAGCTACGTAGAGGAGTGGAGGTCTTCAGCAGCGGCGCAGCATCCGGACACTCATCTGGTGCAATACATCAGGATTGAGTCACCGGTTGTAGCCGGCCTTCCACCTGCAACACATGACTGCTCAAGACTTCATCTTTCACTAGTTAGATTCTAGGGGAGAGAGAGAGAGAGAGAGAGAGAGAGAGAGAGAGAGAGAGAGAGAGNAGAGAGAGAGAGAGAGAGAGAGAGAGAGAGAGAGAGAGAGAGAGAGAGAGAGAGAGAGAGAGAGAGAGAGAGTTGGTTACTATTTCAGGAGTTCTCTTCTAGATTTGGACTGAGACTATTGCGAAATTTTTGGGGAGACAATTTTTTTGTTTGGCGGATACACTGAGTGATAGTCTCGTCTTCTTTTTCTTCTTCTTCTTTTTCTTCTTTTTTCTCACGTCCGTCTTATTCCTCACCTTCATCATTCGTGGTACTTTTCCCCATATCTGTGACAAAAGGAGGGAACTTTTGCCCATGTATGTCCCTTCCGTTCCTATCTCATGCATGATGAGGCATGTGTGTGTTGAGTCCTGAGGCTGATGAGTCACAAGGAGGGAGGCGAATATCTTGGAGGGGGTGGGGTGAGATGTTGGGGGTTGCTCTGCTCTGGGGCTCGGGTTGTTGCATAGGCTGGTATCATATCCTAGTGGTGGCAGATAAGAGCAAGGAGTTGGCACCAACTTGGCAGAGGAAAACTTGGGGGGGGAATTGGATGCTTCTGTGGAAACAGGGAGGGGGAGGGGGTATGTCCCAACCTGGGGCTGATGAGGAATGCATGTGATTAAGGCGTTCCTTTCCGGTGGAGGCGGCGGAGGGACAGGGTGAAAAGGACAGGGGAGGGGAAATATTGTGTGATCTCTTCATCAACCTCTATTTTTTTGTAGTGATGATTGAGAGCATTAGCATCTCTGAACATCTACAAAAACCGGGTACAGGATTCCAGTGGCATGAATAGTTTATCTGATGTCGTGCGTAGCTGTGTTGATTGTTGTTCTTGGTTGGCCGATGTCATAACAACGCGGGTTGGTGCTGGGGTGTTGCCCTGTAACGTGTTTTTGCAGAATCACGAGGCGTGGTAGAGAGATTTGGGGATTCGTCGAGGATGGAAAACAATCCAGTAGCTAACCGGGGACTACTATTGGGACGATGAAGGTTGGAGCTTAGGTGGGTCGAGCTGCCCTGTAGCCTAGCATGTTGCGGCGTGAGGCTGGGTAGCCCAGGTAATATCATCAGGATAGCTATAGTTGATTTAGGTTAGATTCTTAGTGCCACTTGGAACGTAGGTGCTGGTTGATGTCGGATAGAAGTCGTTAGTGGTTTTCACAAGAGTTACTAATCATCTGCAATCCTCAGTAATCGTGGATTCTTCAAACTTTCACAGACACGGGATCCAGAATTTCAGTGGCGGTAGAGACTCAGATGATGTTAAATGAATTTGCGATGTTTAGTGGTCTACAGTAACTGATGCCAGATAGAGAGGTCTGGGGATTTGTCGAGGGTGAAAGACAATACAGTGGCCAAGCATGAGCCGCTGCCAGACCAACAATGGTTGGAGTTGGGGTGGGTCGCGCTGCCCAATAGCCTAGCTTGCTCGGGTGTGAGGCCAGGTTTAGGCTTTGTAGTGAGAACAAGACAACTAAGTTTGGTTTCCCTGGCATGATAGCCCCACTTGGAATGTAGGGTTTGGTAGAAGTAAGATGAGGAGTGGTTTATGAATCTTCGGCATAGCTTCCTCTGAAGTAGTTATGAACCGAAGTTGGGTAACACCCCTGGTTAACCACATGTGCTCATTGTAATCTCATGTAATTTTATAAGGGACGTTGGGCCCTGTTACCATCACGTGTTGCTCCCCACGAATAGATTGGAGCTTAAAAAAAAAAAACAAAAAAAAACGTCCTTTGTTAATTTTTTGTTTATGCTTCATGCCTCTTTGCATAGACATGCAACCGTTTCGGTATTGGACCAGAGCATGAGAGGAATCCAACTAAGCTCATCGAAGATAGTATCTTGATTGATTAACCGCCATGACTGATTGATTAATTACTTCTGATTACTCAAGGTAAAAAAAAAATTCCTCTTTAAAATTTTGAATATGTAATGATATCTCCAACAAAATCTTAAACCGAAAAAGAAAAGTGGATCTGGAATTATTACTAAGTTATAAAATTCACAAGATTCCTTACTTCGGTCTGTTGCCATTTCTTAAATTTAGAACTTCAAAGTTTCGCCATTGGAAGGATTTACGAATATGCACGCCAGTGGAGAATAGACGCCGCCGTCCTATTTATCGACTTCGAAAAAGCGTACGACCATGTGGACTGGCAGTTCCTTGGCCCTCTGTCTAGCAAAAATGAACTTCGAATCTGCATTTAGACACTGGATCAACACACTGCACCACTCGGCAACAGCTAACATAATGCTAAATGACTATTTGTCATCCCCATTCCCCCTCCACATATCAGTCAGAGAAGTCTGACGACACCAATGCGACGATAGCAAAAGCGGACTTGATCAATGACCTATTGTGGGCCTCCCTTGTAACCTTATAGATGGATGTACACCCGCAGAAACAGTCCCCTCCGATCAGGTGGCACAAAGTCTGGAGACAGGCCTGATCTGGAAACCCCCAATAACTAAACCACCAAGGACAACCCTTCTCCATAGAACAACAGTCCCACTGGTTGTCATGGGTGAGGAAAAAGATATTTACCATTGGGGATCTTTGGGACAATGGTCGAGGTACATGGAACACTGCGGTGCAGCTATGGGCGTGACTAAAAAATATGAAGCATATGGTGGAGAAACTGCAGCAACTCCAAGATGTTGGCCCCATAGCCTGATTACGCTCCCTCAAACACGGGTGGAGCTTACAGAAAGGCGATTGGGTGATTACGGCAAGATCACGCCCCATCCCTATGGCAATCTCCAAGGTCAAAAAATGCACAACAATGGGTGCACAACTCCAGGCATATGAGCCAAAGCTACCAAGCGTCAGGCTTACGCAACTGAAAAGAAACCTGGATCTGGATGAGGATATACCTCGGTCTGGCCTCATACGAGTCTGAGTTATGGGGGATGACAAAGATGGTTGGTGGGCCTATGAGGCTTCTACCCCGATCTCCCTACTCCCCTTCGACTGCTGTGGAAATTCACAGTAAAAGACTGTTATAGGAAAATACACCAAACGGTCGACGCCACGGACATTATCAAACACCGGTGGCAGCGGGACGCATGCCCGGATGAAACAACCATGCACACTTTCAAATGGTCCCGATATACCGGAATGATGCCTACATCCCAGAAAGCACTGCAATGGCAGATTATCTACAGATGCCTACCGACACGTGATTAAGTGGTCTTCAGATCACAGTTCGAACAAAGAGGGTTATTATCTCCCATTTGCTCCTACCGTGGCTCCTCCACACAACAACAGGTTGTGGATCTGGAGCACTGCGTGCTCTACTACCCGATGGTACGATAAATATGGCAGTGGTGGACGACATCCTAACACTTTCTCATAGCCACGAACTTCCCATGGGACCAGATGGCAACTCTGTTGGGCAACGTCTCCAAAGTTTCAGCTTTGGATACTCCGTTTCACCTAAACCTATTCGAATATACATGATTGGAAATAGAGTGCGATGCTCTCATGAAAAGAACAAGCACAATTTTGGCTTTCTTCAGGCTGAACAACATATCATAGACACTATAAGAATGCAAGACACGTGAACGCACGGAGCGCTCCCGCCCGACAAGGCTCGGCAGGCATCCGCTCCAGGTCCTCGGACTTGCCGAGGTCGTCTTCGTAACGGTGGAGGGTCAGGGCGGCGCGCGACGGCGGCCATGGCAGCGAAGCTTTAGTGAGCATTGTGTCTACTGTTACTGGAGTGTCTTTGTGCGACAATAGGAGCGCCAACAAGTAACGGGAGCCAGAACAACAGGTAAGTTGACGTCGTCCACATGGCTATGATGGGAATCTCCAACAAGCTGCTGATGCATGGCTATCTAGCATGGAAGACAGCAGGCAACATCTTCAGCATATGGTCTCTCTCCGATCTGTCTCCACTCCGCCTCCACCAGCGGTTGTTGGGGGAGCAACCTCGGGGGTGAAATGGGTGGAAACCGTGCTACAGACGATGTTGGAGGTTATATGGGTGCTGGAGGAGGGGCCGACTTTGAAGCTGGATGAGTTTGTCGACTGGCAACAGGTGGACGCCCTGTCCAGCGATTGTTACATGCTCCTTGACGAGGGACTCGAGCGAGGTGCTGACTTGGCCAAGCGCTCAGGAGGGGAGCTGCCAATCACCATGTTGGCCACGGTTGCACCAGCAGCACCAGCTCCAAGAATCTCACCGACATCTGCAACCACGTTATCATCACCTACACCAACGATCATTGCCCATGCGCCTGCCACAATGAGTACACATGACTTGGGGTGTTCAAGAACAGAGATGGCGCAAACGACGATGACATCAGCGACATCAATCATACCAATAGTGCCTGCGACTAAGACGCTGACATCTGCACAGGCCACCACCACCAACAACAACAACTACACCAACAACAATAATATTGTGCACGACAGTGGCATGGAAGGAGTGATCCTGAGCTCGTGCGCGTCCGGGAGTGACAACAACAACAATAACAACGCTGGCGATGTGGCAAGTGCGACTGGGCATTCTCTTTCCCCCCCCTCTCTTCATCCCCTCTTGTTTTCCTTCTTCCGGTTTTCTGGTGTTGATTGGGGGGAAGGGCGGAATGGATTGTTCTGTAAAGTGGAAGGGTGTGTGGGGGAGCAAGGAGTGGGATGGTGGCGCGAAGGGGTAGGATAATGAATGTCAGATGGCCAGGTCGGATAGGGTTGTCCGTGATTGGTTGGCTTTACCGCATCTTACTTTGGCCACGTGGCAACAGGGCGGGTAGGGTTTGCTCGGGTGGTTGTTCAGTCATTTGTCATGTGGAATTGGCGATTTAAACTTTTGCTACATGTCTATACACATAGGTATTGGCCACGTGGCAGGGCAGGAGGTGCTGTGAGGATCGACACCAGGGCTGCGTATGCGATTGATTTATGCTCTGCCACGTGGGTATTGCGATTGGACTTTTTTTCAACTTTTTCCCACTCGAGCGCACCAGTTTGCTGGTGGGCACATTCTTTTTGCTATAAACATAGGTTCTTACCACGTGGCAGGGCAGGGGGTGCAGTGGTGTTAGGCATCAGGACTGCTTATGCGATTGATTTGTATCTTGCTACATGGGTATTTTGCTTTGAATTGTTTTGCAACAGTGCCTTCCCCACTTGACTGGTTTTGCTGCCAATTAGGATCGTAGGGGGCATGTTGGTGCTGGCAACCTTGATAAGAGATTGCAGTAGTCAAATTGGTTGTCATTGGTTAGGGTTTGACTTGGTTTGATGGTCTTTACGTATAGAGTAGAATTTTCTTCCAACTACTGGCTCCCCTTTGGTTTGTGTCTGTGTTAACTACTGCTGCTTAGGGGAAGCTCGTCGTAACTACTAATGAACTACTAAACTTTCTTGCCCTGTTATCAATCTCTTTGCCGTATTGATAT